GTTTTAATTCCAAGTAACTCTTTAAATTTCCTTCCTAACGCAGTGCATTGTGTTAAGTCTTAAAACACACACTGTGGTTTGATCTTTTCATTCCTCCCAATGGCATCCTCTCCTCACCTTCCTGGGGGCAGCCTGCAGCGGCTGCTCCCACTGACACCCGGCCAAGCCAAGCCAGTTTGGGGGAAAACAAGCTAATTTGCTAGAAAGGGAGTAATGCTCAAGAGGGAAAAAATATTCTCGTCTCCTGGGCTGGAGTCCAAGTTTCCAGCACAGAGCAAGTTAGCCTATTTAGAAGGGTGTCTGTTGTGTAGATAACACTGTGCCTTCTCTCAGAGGTCACATGCCTCTCTTGTGACAGAGGCTTCACCTGGACTTAAAGGTTTCTTCCCTGTTTTTAACCTTATAGCAGAGAAGATGGGAGGTGGGTCTTATTCTCTCTCCACTGTTTCATCATTTGTTTTTGCCCATGGTACTGCCTGAAACAACTCTCAAAATGATGGTGGAAAAACCACCAAGGTTTTTCTTAAAGGGCATGTTGGTTTAAACTTAGCACCCTTGACTTCATTTTTTTCTTACCTCATTGGAAAACTTTCTCCAGTCCCCAGGGCTAAGGAAAACAGAGGCTCAGCACAAACAAAGCCAGATCCAAAAGCCAAACCACCTTTCCTTTCCTGTAGTTGATGACGCTAAGACATAGGCATTTCTCCTAGGCAGGTCAACACGTAACACAGTGCACTGCCTGGCTGTTGGGTTCGGGGACAAAATTAGGGAAACAAAACCTTCATGTGGGATTGCTTTAAAGTGGGTTAGGAAACTAGGTCATCTTATCTTTAGAAACCTTGAATGAAAAGCCGGGAGGAGGCAGGTGTGTGTGCAGGTGCGTGTGCGTTCTCATTTTAGTCTTTTTTTCAAATGACAAGTCCTAGCAGTCCTGTGCCTTCTTTAGCAACTTTAGGCCTCGGCATTTTTACCTTCGGGTTTGAGTGTCGTCATCAATAGTGACTCCCGTGTTTTATCCCCCTCCCATCTCCATTTCAAAAACAGTGTGAGGTTAATCAAGAGATCAGATTGCTGAGAGCATGGGGCATGCACCAGCTGTAAATCAGGGCAGGCCTTGAACCTGGTCAGCCATGTTAACAGTGGGAAAGGTCTCTCGAGATTTTATGTCCTCTTTCCAGTCCTTTGTTGCCCCAAATTGTGAGAACTTTAAATGCAATCACACTGGCTGCTGAGGGTAACTGTAGAACCCTACAGCTTCACAGGTCCATGAGAAATATCTAGACCTGATCTTCCACCCATGGGCAAGTTATTAGCTCAACAAATGTATACCAGGTGTAAAATAATTCTAAATTTTCTGGTAGCCACATTAAAAAAAAGTGGAAATTGGTAAATTGGATGTTAGCCCTCTATTTTGTTTCACCAAATACATCCAAAGTATCACCAGTTTGACATGCAATCAACCAATATAAAAGTGATCAGCGGGATGGTTCACATTCTTTTTTCACACACAGTCTTCAGCACCTGCTGTGACTTCTACACGGACAGAACTTCTCCAGCGCCACCCACATTCATGGTGCCCAGTAGCCCCTTGCAGGACAGCACAGGCCACACAATTCAGAACAGGTCCTACCTATTGTTTTGTGAAGATTTTTAGGGTAGACATTTTTCCTTCCTGAGTTTGTGGGGACATTTACTTAGGATATGTATTTACAATTTTCTTATTGTTTTCAAACATTTTTACAAGTAAATATCATGATTTTGTGTAAATCATTGGCTACTGCAGTCAGTGCCTTTCTCTATCTGTGAGTGTTACTCATCTGTAACGAGCCCCCCCCCCCCAACTTCTATCTTTTACCTATAACTCTTCCTAGGACTTTGTAGAACTTGAGGACAAGGAATCATACCCTCCCATCTATTTTTCTAGATACATAGGTGGATTCTTAGGTAGATTATATGAGGCAGAGAATGTGGTAAGTCATAATAAATCATTTGAGTAAATCACAGTGGGAGGAAGGTTTTTGGACTCGAAGGAACAGACTAAAAATAAGACAGATATTCTTAGGTATATCTGTAGAGACCTGTCTCACCACTCACACATGCAGGAGAAATGTTATCTTCATTTAGAGATGGGAGAGCTGCATTTTTTTGGGGTTTGGCATGGATAGGTACTCTGAACTGTACACTATTAAAGATGGCATTTCAAGATGGATGTGCAGAAAAGAGAGAAAGAGATTCCTAGGTGGGGAATGGGATAAACAAAAAGCATGGCACACAAAGGGGAAGTATGGCTCCATTCAGAGAAGGGTGACAAGAGGGTTCCATGTGTGAAGATGAACAAGGAGAGTCAAGGCTGGACAGGTTGACACCATTAAGAGAAGGTCTAGAATGGGCACTGAACCTTGGCTTCCATTTTATGAAGAAGAGGAAACCGTTTAAGCATTCTGAGCAATAAAGGAGCCTAATCATAGCTATGTCTTCAGGGAAGTTTTAGTTTATACTGCAGTGCAAAATATCAGAGAGAATGTCAGCATGTCAGGGTTCAGAGCAGAAGAAACTGGGCCTCTGAGATTCAACATGCTGCTCAGTGTGTGGTAAGCCACTTGGTGGTAGGTGTAGATACTAAAAAAAAAAAATCCAGACAGAAAATATGAGCACAGAGAAGAGGCCTGTATTAGTTGGGGTAGACTGGGTTGGAATTAATAAACACGCAGGCATGTAATGGCTGAACACAGAAGTTTATGTCTTGTGTAATGGGCCAGGTTGTCCCAGGTTGGCTGGCAGGGGGTTGGCCCCGTTCCATTGTTGTTCAGTGACCCAGCAGACAGTTGCTCTACATTTTCATGAGGAGGCTTCTAAAGCCACCCCAGAAGTTGACTCTTCAGGTATCCAGTATGGGAAGAGAGCATGAAGGAGTACATGTGGATGGTTTGAATGGACCAAGGCTGAAAACAGCGTGAGCTTGTGTTCTGTTGGTTAGAATTTGGTCACATTGGAAGGGAGCCTGGGTAATACGGTCCAGTTGTATCTTCAGGAAGAAAAGAAAAATGATGTTAGTGAATGGCTAGCTGTCTCAGCTACAAAGATGTAGGGGATAATGTATGTAGGTTTTTCTTCCCTTAGGATTATTTTCTTAGGGTACATTTCTAAAAGTGAGATTACTAGGTAAATGTATAAATGTTGTGATATAGTGAATATTGCTTCTTTGGAGGCATGTGTGAGTTTGTTTTCTTTCTCCTATCCCCAGGATCTACCTTGCTAACTTTGAGTTTGCCTGCTGTGTATCTGAGATTTCATGTCTCCTTCCTTCTAATCTCTCCTCCCCTCTCACCTTCTTCCCTGCTGACTGTCCAAGGGCAGAGAGGTAGCAAGTCTAATAGATCAGTCCAAGACAAGTTCATGAATCTATTGTCTAAGCTTGAAGAGATGGGGTAGGGTTAACTGGATTAATGGGACTGAGACATAGAGTCACCTCCAGAACTTTGAAAACTCCTGATACCTCAGATTAGTTAAAATAAACTCCCTATGAACGGTGCCCAAGAATTCTTTAAAAATCCCCAGGTCATTGCCATGAGCAGTCAAACTGGAGGACCAATGTGCTAGGGCTGCTGTGGCAGAAAGCTTCCATGTTTCCCTTCCTTCATCCCTCTTCTCTCAGGATGAGCTGTGTTTCTAATCAGATCCCCACTCAAGAGTGAGGCTAGCTCACAAGTCCCGCTGTGTCAGAACCTGAATGGGTATGTTAGCAAGGTGGGATGCGGTGTGCAGGGGACACAGCCCCTGGCCCGGGATGATGCCTGGCAGCCCAGCGAGGGCGTGATGCACTGGTAAGGCCGACGCCCTGGGCTTGCCTGCTTGCACCTGCCTTGCCTGCCCTAGCAAGGACTTAACTTCTGGCCGGTCTGCATTGGTGTGGCCAATGGTTTTCAACCACTTCCCCACTGCAACCTTTTATACATCAGTCTCTGAAAGAGTTGGTAGGATTTTTGCTGTGTTTAGACTCCCCTAGTATGTGCTGCTGTGCTCGTGTGTTGAGTTTCCACATTCTCCAGTAGATTTCACTCTGTGGGTTACCCCACTAACCCAGTGCCTGGCGTCAGTGAGGGGGAATGAATGGTTATCGAATGAATGAAAGAATGAAAGGATAAAAAGAGATTTTATTCTATGAATAGTTAGACATTCAAGTTGGATGATAAATTTTCAGTAGTAGAATATTTTAAATGGTGCAGATCAGTGTTTTTAGGAAACCCAGCAAAGACATGCTTTTTTAAAGTTACTTTTACAAATATTGTCCTCATCCATCACTATGTGAAAACTTAGATTCCAAACCTATTGCTCTTCTCTGTTTGCCACCAGGAGTATTTAAATATTTTTAGGACCAGGGAAAACCTTACATTTGAAAAATGTAGAGCTGATTGGGTGAGGGCCCTACTGAACTGGCAGAATGTTTGAATTTGTAGAAATTTGGGTACGAAGTGACTTTAAACTTTAAAACTGAGTTCCAAGAGACCTCTTGCTTAGAAGTATAATTTACCCATTACTGGTATAGATGTGTTTTCAAACAGTGTATACTTAAAGTACTTTAATACTACCATCCTCCTTCTTAGCTAATTTGCTCAGCAAAGGCAACTTTGAATAGAGTTTGTTTCAATTGGCACAGAATCTGCAGTGTAGATTTGGCCTGGAGAAATAAGGCCTTACAGTTAATGATTTGAGGGTTTTATTCTTATTTGTTTAAATATATGTTTCAAAGATTACCATGTCCATGGAGCATCTATAGACCAAGAGGCTACTTTAGTTATTGGTTCAAAGTTCTCCCAAACACCTTTTCCCATTTCTGGACTTTTGGTAGGACCAATACCAGTTGTATTTTCAGGGGTGAAGTGAGAAGTGTTTAAAGTCCTTGGGTTCAGTAACTTTCTTACATCCCAAAACAAAATCTGAGAGCCTCCCCCTCCACACCTGCAAAGAAAACTGAAGTCAGGTTGGTCTCTTCCTTCCAGGAGAACGCCGTGAACGGAGAGCACCTGTGGCTGGAGACCAACGTCTCGGGGGACCTGTGCTACCTGGGCGAGGAGAACTGCCAAGTCCGATTTGCAGTGAGTGTGCTCCCTATGCCTCTGGGCTCAGCCCTTCCGGGAGGGAGGCCTTCACATGGAATCTGGATACAGCGGGGGCCACCGAGCCTGAATTTCCAAGGAGAGGTTTGAAAGAACTTGTGCCTTGTGAGGCAATTGACAGAGAGAGTGTATCAAGTTAACATGGCTTCCAAGGGGTCAATGGGAATGGTGGTAGGGCTTGACTACACATGCCAAACCTGGGTATTAACATGCTAGCTTACGATGACACCCAGAGTTGGTTTCCGTTCATGCATTGGGTGGGAGAGAGGGAGAAGGAGCATGAGGCAACACCTGCCTATGTAGGGCGTGTCTGTGTGGTGGGCAGGGGTGTGTGTGGAGGAAGGGTCTCTGGTGGAGGGGTGACTCCTCTGTAGGGCGTATATGTGGTGGTGGGCGTGGCTGGTAGGTGAAGGTGGGGATGGGTGGAAACACTTGTGGGGTGGTGGGAGTAGGTGAGCAAATAATTTAGGCTAAGTTCTGGAGGGTCAAATGCTAGAAACCATATAAACAATCAACAGTCAACCACATTGGAGTACCCTTTGATTTTTAAAATATATTCTATGTCTCTATTTAGGCCAATTTATTTCAGTGTTTAATTTTCTTTATATTCCACGAAGAGAACATGGTCAGTAAGTTGTAAGGAATTAAAATTTTACTGTTGAAAAAGTGAACTTAAGATTTTTGTGTAGCTTAAAATTAATAGTCTGAAAAACAGAGTAATCAGAAATTGGAATAGTAAAAAATAAACAAATGTTCCTGCTTGGGAAATGTGTGTCATAATTGCAATAATACATTTTTCCCTGTTTGTTCCTTATATGAAAGAAAGATTCGTGGCCTTGGAATTACCAGTGGATACATTTCTATTAATAACTAATAAGGAAGAAATTGAGCTTCCGTCAAAGTTTGTGAAAGAATATAGCCCCCAAGGACTTTTATTAGGCTGTCTGGAATCTCAAAGCTGGGAACCACGACCTTTAAAATGACATTAGCTGTTTCCATGCCTCGTTGATAGGTTTTATTCGGGGAAACTTCATGAGAGCTTTGGAGGTCCAGGGTTTGTCTGAGTGAAGCTAGGGATAGTTAAAGGTCATGGACAGGCCCAGCTGTAGCTGTACAGGCTCTTGATTTAAAGTCAGGAACCTGGGTTTCAATGTCAGTGTCACGGCTCAGTGTGTGACATTCAGAACTCTTAACCTCTGGACATTCTCTTCCTTCTCGGTTGAAAAACGGAGTAGGGTTAAATGATTTTTAATCTTGTTTCCAACTCAGATCTGTACTTAATTGTCTGCATTTCTTTTAATCTGGTTGTACATTTAATTGATTTAAATATCACTTGAACTTTATACATATCTATTTTAATGAAAATATAATTGCACAGAGTTCGATCGAATGAACTGAAACCAAGAGAAGCTCAGCTACTTGGACTAAAATCCTACAAATAATGAATTAGCATTCTTATCTTAGTAAATTGCATAAACATCCATCTTAATAACATAAAATGGAAAAAGTGAAAGCCAGTCTTATTTGTCCATATACTTTTAAAATATTATCTACTGATATTGCTGCCAGCTGATAGCTTGTAATTTGTTATGGAGTTGTATCTTATTTTGAGATTCCTGCCTTTGATGATTTCATGTGCTCTTACAGAGTCAGCCACATGTTATCACTCTGGCAAATCCATGAGCCTATACACACATCCTCCTTGAATCTTGTATCAGTAACTGGCATTGCTACCCACTGAGTATAACTTGATCACTGTTCCCGCTAGGCTGGGAAAAGCAGCAAGGAGAGTGAAGGAAATTTTGGGTAGATGTAAGGAGGTAACAGAGTTATGAAAATTCCAGATGTTCTGTTGAACCTTTCTCAAAACTTCCTCCCAGAGGCTTGACTCAATTAACTCACATTATAAAGTGTCTTGAAGAGGAAGAGCTTACCTCTAAACAGTGTTGATTAAATGAAGGAATAAATCAGTGAGGAAGCTGAAGGCCTGACTATTTCCTCCTCAGGAGTTCCTGGAGGCTCAGTTCCTTTACCTGTACAGTGCGGGGAATGTTGTTGGGAAGATGTACTGAGATAATGCGTTAAAGGGGCTTATTTGGCGCGTAGTGACTGACATAAGGAATTAAAAGGGAAATCAAAGATAGGAGCAGACAATTCATGAAGGAACTACCACGGGCCAATATATATGTGACAAATATACAGAAAGTCACCCAAATTAAAACAACTATGAAGAGTCAAGATCACATGCCTATTAAATGAGCAAGGATTTACAAAATAGTGATATTGCTCCTTGGTTTAGGCCACCATGGGCACTCTCATCGTTAGCTACCGGGATGTAAATTGCCACACAGCACAAAATGGGTGGTGTGTAGCAAAGCAGTAAAAATCTATCTGTGTCTGCCTCTTGGGACACCCTGTCTTGAGAGGGACCTGGGAGAGCAGGAGAAGATGCAGAGGGGTGTGCTCACGTGGGTTCCGGGTAGGGAACTTTGCAGAAGGCAGTGTTAAATACCCCGGGCTGCAAGCAAGCATTAATCAGGGGAGAGGGAGAGTGTGGACCTCTCCCAGTGTTTGAGGGCTGCCACGAAGAAAAGGGAATACGTGCCTTGACCTTCGTTGTTAGGAAGGTAGCACTAAGTTCTCCAGGCTGTAGAATCCACGGACTCTGAGAGTAGATCTAACATTTGGTGAAACAGACGTCATCCGGGGACCCTGCGAACGGTGTAGGTTATAGTTTCTGTCCTTGCTCCAAATGCTGATTCACTCTGCCTGGAGTTGGACTTGAAAATCTGTAATTTTAACAAACAGCTCAAGTAATTATGCTGCAGATGGTCCACAAACTTACCTTTGTGAAGTACTGTATTATGAGAAAGAACTTTAACAACTAGAGCTGCCCAGCAAGGGAGCAATGTGCCTGGAGAGATGGGCTCGAAGCGCCTCTCTACAAATCATTTGGATGGACGTTTTGGCACTGCGTGCGTGTGTGTGTGTGTGTGGGGGGGTGTGTGTTTAGGAGGCATGCTGGGGGGTACACATCTGCTTTGGGTAAGAAGGTAGGCAAGGAGGGCTCTTGCAATAAAGCCTCGGGTTTGAGTGCTCTAGTGCAGTTTTCTTAGAATTGAACATCTTTGCAAGAAAAATGCACTCATAAATAAATCGTTATATTCTCATTTCTTCTAATGAGCCAACTTTGAAGAAAGCTGACCTGAAATAGGAACCAAATTAACTCAAGCAGGTGCTACCTGCAGGCTTCTACACAAAGTGCAGGCGGAACGCTTGGAGGGGTGAACCCATCACTGACGAGTGCAGTTCACTCCTTGCACTGGTTTAGCAAAGCAGATGTCACTGGAGAAGTTAAGAGAAGGGAGAAGTCGGTGTGGGCTGAGTAGACAGAGGCGGCTGCATGGAAATGGGGACTGAGCACAGTTCTGAAAGGTGGGTAAGGTTTACGTAAGTGGAGTTGAGGAAGGCGAGCATTTCAGACGAGGAGAGGAACATGAGCCCACGCAGGGGGGCCCAAGTGTTGTAAGCAAGGAGGCCTTTGTGAGGTGGGCATGAGTACCCGAGGGCAGATGGGAGTGCATGTCAATGTTTCCTGAACCAACACTTGGAGTGCTTGTTGCAAATATCTGTGAAGCATGGCCATCTGACACAGGGCCCGGCACTAGGAACGACCCTTTTTTATAACAAAATCTTTTATTATAAAATCATGGGCATGTAATTTTGTACCATAACAATACCACACTCAAGCAAGCACACCCTGTGACATTTTACGTGAAATGTTCAAATTAAAACTGTCAATGATCACACCTATGTTATTACCCTACCAACCACACTCCAGCAGGCCTCACTTCTGCCAGACCCTGTATATTGTCTAAACCAAGACAATTTGTAGGTGAAAGTGGCTGCTGCTGTGACTTCAACGGTCAACCACACCTGCCTCGGGGACACTGTCACCCTGACTTGTGAGGACATTGCAATCGTCTATTTAAAACCAGGGCTGTCCTGCAAATCTGTCCTGCAGTACCTCCTGCTGCCACGGGATTGGTATCTGGGGGCTGACGCTGGAGGGCATTGAAGGCAGCCCAGTGACATCACAGAACATGCAGACTGATGTAGGAGAGTTTGTTCCCAAACCTCGGGCTGAACCAGGGGACCTTTAAAATCCTTCCTCTTTTACATCTCTCTAGTGGCAACATTTAGTAGAATATCTGTGAGCAGTTATTTAAGGGGATTGAAGTCATTTTCAATCAGTGACAGTACCCAAATTAGTAACTGTTTTCTTTTTCTGGTCTAAAAAGGAGGAAAGGATGCAAAAACAATGAAACTGGAGCAGAAAGATCACTGTTTCCCTACGTGACGATGAGGAGAAAATTAAATAAAATTCCAGCTAGGGCCATTCTTGTTTGTGGTGATGTTGATTTGGCTAGACATTTGTTCATTCGCTTATTCTGTAAGTGTTATGGGCTGAGTACGCTGTATGAGGCACTTCAAACAGTGCTGAGAGTGACGGTGAATTGCAAGTGACAACCTCGTCATTTAGTGGGTAGAAATCATTCTCATGCTTTGTAGATAGCGTGTACGAAGATGTTCATCCAATATTTGTCCCCAAAGAAACTCACACCTCCACTAATAATCCACAGAGCTCATACCAGTGCACACCTAGCTTTGCACTTAAGACACTTGCCTACGTCATATGTGACACACATGGCCCTAGTCACACCTGCATAAATGCATGTTGACACTGATGGGTAACCAGGTAGTAGGAAGGAAGTGGACTTGCTGTGAGACAGACCTGGGTTTGAATGCTGCTGTTCCGTGTGTGTACTGAGTGAACTTTGGACCTATCATTTCACCTTTTTCTAATCTAAATTGTTGTGAAGATCAGCCTCCATTTCTAATTTAAACTATTGTGAAGATCAGCCTCAATGGTTCTTATTTCTAGATGAGCATTGCAGTTGATTATAAAACTACTTTAA